ATTTTCAGTGATGAATCTCTGTACAGGTTCAGAAGAGTTGACTGATCTCATAACCACCATAAAAATTGAGAAATAATTATATATTATACCTCTTTCATTCTAGAATGAACACAAACTATAACACAAAAACTTAAATGTTTAGACTAAATAGCTTAAATCTCATAACACTATACTTTTATTTATTTTTATTGTATTAACCTTTCAGCTGTGCCTGGCTAACAATACAGAAGTTACAAGGATGAGGCAGACATGCACACGTTACCATATCTAATAACATAATCATACATCAACACTATGAATTCCCTTTACAATTTTATCTCAATCAGATCCCCTCTATCTCTTCCTTTTTCAAGAAAAAAACAATTTCAGATATCTTAACATCTCCTGATATAACAACCCTTCCATCCCAGGCACAATTCTAGCAGCACTTCTCTGAACCTTTTCCAACAGTTCAATGCCCTTCACAAGGTAAAGAGCCTAAGACTGAACACAATATTCCAAATGTGACCTATACAATGAAATTATAACCTCTTTGGACTTGTCCTCAATATTTCTGTAGATACAACCTATTTGACTTCCACTAGCAATAGCACACTGTTTGGATTGGTTAAGAGACTGATCAACAACTACATAAAGATCCCTTTCATTCATATCACTGTTAAGGTTATTCCCATCCAAATTATACTAATAATTCAAATTATGATAACCCACATGCATTATTATAATTAAAACCCACCTGCCATTTATTTGTCCAACTCACTAAGTGATCTAAATCCTTTTGTAAAGAAACAGCATCCTCCTCAGAGCCAGCAATACCCAAGACCTTAATATCAACAAATTTAAGTAATGTATTGAGCAAAAGGCCTAAGACTGAACCCTGAGCTATCCCACTTGTGACATTAATTCAGTTTGACTGAACTCCATTTATAACACAACTCTCTGCTTTCTTCCATCCAGCCACTCTTCTATCCAATTAGCTAATTTATGTCCCACATTTATAGATATTTTTCTTACAAGCCTTTTGTGTAGTACCTTGTCAAATTCTTTCTGAAAATCCAGATACACCAAATCTACATCCTTACCCTCATCCACATAGGCATTAACCTTTTCAAATTATGCCAAAAGACTTGTAATGCAAGAATTTTTTTATCTTAATGTAACCATTTGACTATCCAATAAATTCTTAAATGTTGTTAAATGACTTTGTAAAGCATCTTGTATCAAACTTTCCAAACGTTTTTCCACAACTGATGTGGCCTGTGATTACTAGGACAATTTTTATCACCTGAAAATGGAGCAACATTAGCCAACTTCCAATCCTCTGGCACCTGCCCACTATTCAAGGAATTACAAAAAATAGTAGCAAGTGGCTTACATATCCAATCCCTAGTCACCTTCAAAATCCTTGGGGAAATATTATCTGGCCCAGCAAACTTGTTGTTTTTGAAACTTCCCAATTTTTTGTTAAGAATTAATGTGATTATCTTTTTCAGTCTTGTTTCCATCTATCAACTGTTCAAGATGAGAAATCTTTCTGAAACCTTCATTAATAAAAACTGAAGAAACAGCAGAATTTAATAACCCAACCATCTCATAATCATCACATTCAAGCTTTCCTCTTATCAACCCTCAAAGGTCCTACTCTCATACTAACGTTTTGTTTACTTTGAATGTATTTAAATAAACCCTTACTGTTAATTTTTAAATTTTTAGCCAACTTTTTTCCTACATCTTATTGATTTTTTTTTTAATTATAATAAATAATTAAAAACAACGTTTTATATTTACACAATCAAAAAATTTTATTAAAGCCATATGGCTTCCATTTTAAAATATCTCTCTACAAGTACATGTTTCGAGGTGATCTACGT